GATAATATTTGTTAAGTGCTTAGCAATAGTATCTGCCACATAATTGGTATTTAATAAATGATTGATTCCTTCCTCTCTTCCTCCTTTCCTTCTTTCTTTCCTTCTCCTTCTTCCTCCCTCTCTTCTTTCCTTCCTCCCCCTCTCTCTCTTTCTCCTTCCCTCTCTTCCTTTCTTCCTTCCTCTCTCTCCTCCTTCCTTTCTTTCTCCTTCCTTCCTTGTAGAGAGCTGTCTCTGCCACTGGTTCTTATTTGGGTGATAGCTAACTTTTCCAGGTCAAAAGCACTGAGCTTCTGTCTGGCAGAGTAGTTTTCTCACAATAGTTCCCTATCAAGATGATCCTCAGAGCCTTAAGAAACAATTTTGGTGTCTCAGGCAAGCTTCACAAAAATATACCTGGCAACCAACATAAAATCAAGTTTTAAAGATTAATGTAGTTGGGTTAGAAAAAGATCCTGTGCTGTAGTGGGCAGATGGGAGTGGTGGTGGGTAGTGGAGGGTGTCAAAGAATAGAGACCCTCACATACTATAAGCCTGTTTCTGGGGAAATTGGAGTAGAGGAGAAGGGACTGTGCTACAAAGGACCTTGCCTAGAGTGCAAAGGGGCAGGTTGGGAAGGAGAATCTTTAAAATTAACTCTTTTTGCTAAATAGGTGCTAAATTCTATTGTTCCTGCCTGGTGAAACCTTTGGTATCATCTCATTTCAGTGCGCTGGAGCACAGGCCCACCCTAGCTACCCTTTGTTGACTTCCAGTGGACAGCTACCTCTTCTTCCTAAATCTTTTAGATGGGTGTAAGATGGTGAGCTAAGATTGTGACACTTCCCCCCTAGGGCTGGGGTCTTTGGTCATTAGCTAAGGATAGGGTGTATTCATCTGTGTACTCAGAGAAGGGATATATCTGGAAATCCTATCTGTACTGCTAAGGTCAGCAAATTGAATTGAGACTTATTCATTCTGATAGGTCTGAAATTGGGGTGTTCTGAAACCTCTTGAGCTTTGACAATATTGTTTACAAATCTTCGTGTGCATTAGTAGGACTATCCTTATCTTCATTCTTCTCCTCGAACTTATCCTTATCTTTATCCTTATCCTTCCTTATCTTTATCCTTATCCTTATCTATATGTCTCTATTAAAATATCTAAGTTATTCTAACTTAGTTGATTGAGTCTAACAATATAGACCCAAGGGCGCAGTACAGATATGACAATAATCAGACAATGATATGACAAAAAAAAATAATAATAGGCATAAGTCTCCAGTTAATAGGACAAGTACAGAGGAGCCTTAACTTCAGAACTGATGATAAAAGGATTCACATCCAACTGAAATTTACGTCCATGACACCTGCCAGATTAATTATGATTGTTTTATTTCTATGTTTTCTTTTATTTTCTAGCCAGAATGACTTTTTAAAGATGTGTGTGTGTATATATATGTATATATATATACATATATATACACACACACACACATATGTATATGTGTGTGTATACATATATACATATATATAAATATATAGATAGATAGATTTTTGTAATAATACAAGAAAATTACTTTGCTGGAGTCAGAAGGGTTCAGATCTCTTCTCTGTCACTTACTGTATGTTCATCCTCAGTTTTTGAAGAGGACCAGTGACATCATGGGGTGATGTCCTGACTTGCAAATGAATTGGATTTAAGTGAGGCAGAGCTATAGCAAGTGGTCAGATTCACTCTTTCTTCCAGAGTCATCAAAATCTAGTGGCAAGACACAAGTCAAGATGATTGGCAAATGGCCTGGGATGCAGTGGATGACCTCGGCATCTTCGATGTCTGACCAAGCTCTAAGTGTTCCACTGCAGGTGTGACCTTGGACAAGTTACTTAACTTCTTTCAGCCTCAATTTTCTCATTTGTAAAATGTGGAGGTTAGGTTAAATAGCTAATAAGGTACCTTTCAGCTCTAAATCTATGATCCTAGCTGGTATGGATTAAAGTCTTGGCTATAGTTTGTGTTTAATAAATGTATGATAAACCACATTGATTTGGAAGTCTCATTTCACAATGCCACTTAAGAGGCCTGTTGGTAGCCTGGATACACACATGCCTGGTTCAGTGCCTCTGTGGGTCACAACTTCATCCAGGAGGGTCAGCTTCATTATAGACTGAGTTGACCTTTAAACTTAAAGGCACAAAGACCTTAGTTTATTCCCCTGCCCATCTCTCCAGATGTTTCTACTTGATCTTGACCCCCAAAGCTGTGCAGCAAAGAGCAGGAGCCCCAACATTGAGAGAGACGAGTAAAGATGCAGCAAAAGCAATATGGCATCTGGGTGGCCAAGGAGGTCACTACCTAAGGCCTGCTGTGCTTGTCTCTATTAGATTGAAGAGGAGACACTTACCCTGGGTAGGGTGGGGGTAGGGTGTGTGAGGGTAATAAAAGAGGGAGAAATATTAAATAAATAACTTGACTATTTACAGTTTGTACTTAAAACAGTCATCAAAGTTAATTGTAGGTTTATTGTTACCTGTCCACCTCCCTATGCCAGCAGGTGCCAGGCACAGAGAATTCAACTCCCATCAGACATTGACCCTGGCATTCATCGAGGAAGCTGATGGATTCTGTTTACTCTAGCAACTGGGAGCCCACATACGATAAAGGTTTATAGTTGGTTCAAGACAGACTTCAGGCTCATTCTTTCCAGATTTATTCAGAGGGAGGGAGCAGAGGGGGAGGTCAGGAACAGAAGAACAATGTTTAACTCAATTGATTCCCAGGCTCTCTTTGGTGAAGATGACCAAAAGCCTTCCCACCCCCACCCCTCCATTTTTTTTTCCACATCCCTCCTCCTATCCCCCACTTTTCCCAAGTCTTGACCAAAGATAACGTCAAGGTATCAGCCTCCTGCCAAGTAGCTGCCGAAAGTGAAACAGAATTGCCCTGGGAACGAGGGAAGAAAATAAAGTCTAGTGAGGCCAAAGGAAGTCTATAAAAACAAACAAACAAAAAGACCACCCCCAAGACTCCTTCCTCTAATTCCCCCCCTCTTGCTCAAACAAGGACTGGAAAGCAGCTGTCTTCTCGTCCTGAGTGTCCTAACTGTCAAGTGTGAATCAAGCTAGAAGAATGTAGTGTGAAAAGTCAAGGAATAATGCCCAGAACTGAAGTTATTCCTCCTCCAATGTCTACAGGACATGTTGGAACCCATCCTGGACAAGCGCACTGTCCATCTTCCATAAACATTGGAGCAACAATTAGCTGAGAAAAAGTAGCAATGAGCTAAACATGAGCAAAAGTATCCTTGTTGTGCCTTCGTGCCACATTCTGATGAGTATTCATTCAACTAATAAGCATTTATTAAGCACCTATCATGTGCCAGACTGAGCATTGGGGATACAAAAAGAAACAAAAGACACTCCATCCCTCAAGGAACTTACAATCTAATGATGACATGAGCCTACAATTCTACTAGAAATGTTAGCTATAACAACAAAAGAAGGAAAAGAAATCAAAGGAATTAGAATAGGGAATGTGGAAACAAAACCATCACTCTTTGCAGATGATATGATGGTCTACTTAGAGAACCCTAGAGAATCAACTAAAAAACTACCTGAAATAATCAACAACTTCAGCAAAGTTGCAGGATGTAAGATAAACCATCAGCATTTCTCACAAAGCCCAGCAGCAAGAGATAGATAAATTTCATTTAAAATAACAGTAAACAATATAAAGTACTTGGGAGTCTGCCTGCCAAAACAAACCCAGGAACTATAACAATTACGAAACACCTTTCAAACAAATAAAGTATAGCCATATATATATATTTATAATAGTAATTATTGTAATATTATATTATAATTATTATTACAATAATAATAAATAGGCTATATATATTTATTAATTAGTTGGGGGAGGGACAAGATGGGGAGAAAATTTGAAACTCAATCTTGTGGAAGTGAATGTTGAAAACTAAAAATAAATAATTAATTAATTTTTAAAAGAAATAAAGCATCTAAATTGGCCGTGTTAAAATCAAAGACATTTAAAAATCTTTCATTTTGTTAAAAAAATGTATAATAATAAAATATGAATGATTAGGTGCTATGTTTGGATAGTATTTTGTTTGTTAGTGTAATTATGGCTTATAATGTTTAGTAGACAATGAGATATGTATATCTATATCTATAGTTGAACCAAAAATGTATTATTCGTTATTAGATTATGAAAATTCAAATTCAACAAACATTTATTATGTTAGTTTCGTTATTGTTAAGTGAATTGGATATTTTTAGGACTTAGTATTTATATGGCCTCAATAAATGTATTGAATGAAGGAAAACCATGCCATAAAATTTGAAACATTTCTGCTAAAAAAAAATCACTTTGATTAGAGAAATGCAAAGTAAAACAGCTCTTAAATACTGCCTCATACCAATCAGATTGGCTGATATGACAAAAAAGGGAAAAAAGGTAAATGTCAAAGAGGAAGTGGGAAAATTGGGATGCTAATGCACCGTTGGTAGGGTTGTGAACTAATCCAACCACTACGGAGGGCAATTTAGAACTATTTCCAAAGGACAACCAAATTGTACATATTCTTTGATCCAACAATGCTACTACTAATTCTGTATCCCAAATAGATCATTAAAAAGGGGGGGGGGGAAGGACCTACATGTGCAAAAATATTTATAGTAGCCCTTCTCATGGTGGAAAAATACTGGAAATTGAGGGGATGCCTATCAATTGAGGAATGGCTGAACAAGCTGTGGAATATGAATGTAATGGAATACTATTGTGTTACAAGAAATGATGAACAGGCCAATTTCAGAAAGAAAAAAAACTAGAAAAATATAGTACAAAGTGATGTAAATTAAAATGAGCAGAACCAGGAAAACATTGTACACAGTATCAGCAACATCATGTGATGACCAGCTATGAATGACTTAGCTCTTTTCAGCAACACAATAATCCAAGACAAGTACAAAGGACTCACAAAGGAAAATTCTATCCGTAGTCTTTCTCGTGGTTTTATTTCCTTTTGATCTGTTTCTTCTTCCACAACTATGACAAATATGGAAATATATTTTACATGATAGCACACGTATAAACTATATCAAAATGCCTAACAATTTCAGAAGTGGGATGGGAGAAAAATTTGGAACTCAAAATCTTGTAAAATGAATGCTAAAATTTTTTTCTTAATACGTATTTTGGGAAAATGCTATTTAAATTTTTGAAATCCTCACAAAAATAAATAAATGACTGATTAAGGAAAAGAAAAAAGAAAATGACTGAACAACAACAACTTCCTGACTCCAGGCCCACTGTTCTATCCACTGCACCACCTAGTTTCCCCAAAACTATGATACAGATAGATAAACTGAGGCATGAGAAAATCAAGGGTCATCTTCAAAGACAGGAACAGAGTATGGTAAAGAACAGAAGATAGCAAATACCCACCGAACTTACTTCACTGCTTTCACAAGTTGTCATCATCATCAAGATCCCAGGTATTTCTATAAGTTTCTTTCAATTTAGTAGTCAGTGTTCCTAGTCCCATTGATAGAAAGGAGAATCAGAGCACAGACAACGAGGAAGAATATCTCATAAAGCTGTCACACAATGGCAGTTGTGTAATCATTTAGGACCAGAGTTCACTGGCCTCTCCGATCCACTTGGATAGATTAAATAAGGAAGATCCTACAGGATTTTATATCAGATAGGTATAATTTTAGTCTTTTGAATTTTCTTTAGTGGGTATAGAGTGGGAGAACACTAGAAAATGATTTCTGTTTCAAGACACTGGAAAACATGCTTTGAGTTAGTCCATAGACTTCAGGTGGAGGAGGGGAGAGGGCGTTGCTTTTCTTACCCACGAAAGTTTTGCTCCTTTGCCGTAATCAGCTAATCTGGCTCTGAGCCCACGACTCCTACAGTAAAAGACGAGCACAGTAAAAATCAGTTGCAAGGCTTCCTCTCCTCATAGATGTACCATTAACTTCCTTTGGCTTAAGTCACTCTGTGTGTTTTTCATTTGCTCCTGAAGAGGGAGAAAAAAAAGTAAATGTTTTTTGCACATATAAATGGGGGTGGGAGAAGGTATGGGGGGGGGATAAGAAGCACTTTAAGAAGACAACCCTGGGCCACAACTCTTGTTCTTTTTGTCCATGAAGGCAGAAGACACAGTTTTTGCATGTCAGGTCAGTGGCATTTTCATTTTTTTAGCACTGGTTGTTACAGTTTCTGTTAAAGCATTGGGAAATCAGTGCATGGATCAAAAGCATAATGGAGGAATCCCATAAATTTCAGCAAATCCTGTTTGCCAAAGATTTGGAGTGTCTTTCCTCTGTCCTTTTGAACTTGTTTCTGTTTTGCCACTCTTACAAAAAAAAATATGTATTTTAGAAATCTTCTGGTATGGCAGTTCTTTTTATGCTCACAAATCATGGAGTGGGGGTGATGATGAAGAGACATGGAAAAGGAGGGTATTGGGTGGTGGTGGAAACTTCTTACTTATTCCTTTTTAAAGTTCCTGTAAAGAGAACCCTAAATTTACATGCCCAAATCTAGGTAGTTTTATTCATTTCTATTTCCAACCATTCATTTCCACTTTTCACAAAACGTATTAAGTATTTACTATATGTGAGACACTCTGCTGTGTAATATGAGAGATACAAATACAAATCAGACACTGTACCCATCATCAAGGAGATAGAATTGAAGGAACTTGACAATTTATTAGATGTGAAAGGCAAGAGAAAGAGGAGTAAGCAATGTCCGTGAAGTTATTAGTCTCAGTGACTAGGCACTTAAGATGATGGCACCATTGACAGGGATAGGAATTATAAGATTTAGAGTTCAAAGGCCTTCCGACACCATCAAGCCCAATCCTCTCCTTTTATAGATGAGGAAACTGGGGCCTAGAGAGGTAAAGTAACTTGCCCAAGGCCATACAAGTACTAAGTAGCAGAGCTAAGATTCCAATTCAAATCCTATGATTTTAAGTCTTTCCATTACACAATTATCTTGACCAAAGCTGGTCTTCGACATCTATGCAGATTAGAACAAGTTATCATCATCATCATCATCATCATCATCATCAATCTTCATCATCATCATCAATCACATATAGGGCTGCTAAATGGTACAGTGGATAGAACATTGGGCTTAGAATCAGGAAGACTCATCATTGTGAGTTCAAATCTGGCCTCAGATATTTACTAGCTATGTGACCCTGGACAAACTGCTTGACCCTGTTTGCCTCAGTTTCCTCATCTGCAAAACAAGCTGGAGAAGGAAAGGGCAAGCCACACCAATATCTTCACCAAGAAACCACAAAAGGGGTCACAGAGAGTCAGACATGACTGAAAAACAACTGAACAACAACAAATTATTATATACTATAATATGTCAAGGCACACTACACTCACCCATTCATAATCCCTCCTCTCCATCTACCACAAATTTGCTTTTAAAAAGCACTGGAGCCAGAGGACTTGTGTTCAAGTCTTGGCTTGGTTATTTACTACCTGTATGGTGTTGGGTAAGTCATATAACTTCAGGTAGTTGGACTACCTAATTGTTAAGTTCTCTTCCAACTCTAAACCTATGATCCCATGATCTCTTTCCTCAGTTACTCTGTGTGGTACCAGAATACAAGCACTCATGGAAGTGGGATGCTCACTTTGTAATCACGGAGGAAACTCAAAAGTTCAAAGTTGTTATGGGGTAGAAAGTAGACTGTGTCCAGTATGATAGAAATAAAAATAGGATAATGGCAAGTTTAAATCTCAGAGAAATTCAACCCTACATTTCTTTTCCTTATTCTTGTTTTCCTTTCTACATCTCAACCACAGATGGTTGAGTAGGAGGAAACATCTTCTACTGTCAGTAGCCCCAACAACACATACAAAATACCAGCCAAGCCCAGTGAAGACCAGTGCCCCTGCTCCAAGGAAACCTCCATCCTCACTGCCTCCCTAAGGAGATTCACCCTCAGAGCCCAGTTACTTGTGAGGGGAAGTGGGCATGGGAGGCCAGGGCACTTCTTTTTTTTATTTTTTATATTTTGGCTAGGCAATGGGGTTCAGTGATTTGTCCGGGGTCACACAGCTAGTGAGTGTTATGTGTCTGAGGGGATTTGAACTCAGGTCCTCCTGATTCCAGGGCTGGTGCTCTATCCACTGCTCCATGTAGCTGCCCTGCACTTCTTCTTTAGACCACTATTATCATAGGATCATCATAGTTAAATTATATTTAGCACCTTAAAATTGGCAAAGCAATTTGCATGTTTTCTTTCTTTTTATCTAAGTGTAGTCCAGTCTCCTCATTTTATAGATGAGAAAACTGGGGCCCAGAGAGGTTAAGTATTTGCCCAAAGTCACAGAGCTAGAAAGTTGTAAAGGTGAGATTTGAATCCAGGTCCTCTAACTCTAAATCAGGTAAATTTTCCCAAGGAGCTGAAATCATTAAGTCATTTGTAATTTTATCTCAATTTAACATTTAGTCACAGCACTGCAACTTCTACTGGCTGTTAAGAGAAAAATTAGATATTAATGCCACAACAGCAAGGAAGATAAAATGGGTTGTGATGGCGGACTGAAGAAGAAAGGCATCAAGGAAAACATGTCCTATGAGACTGAATTCCATCACCAATTTGATACTATCATGCTATAAGAAATGAGGAGCAGGATGCTCTCAGAAAAATCTGTAAAGATTTACATGAACTGATTCAAAGACAAATGAGCAGAACCAGGAGAACATTGCATAGAGTAACAACAATATTGTATGATGATCAACTGTGATGACTTAGCTATTCTCAGCAATGAAATGACCCAAGGCAATTCTGAGGACTTAAGACGAAAAATGCTATCCATCTCCAGAGAAAAGAACTGATAGAATCTGAATGCAGATCGAAACAACCTTTTTCTTTACTTTATTTTTATTGAATTTTTTGTCTATTTTTTCTTTCACAACATGACCAACATGGGAATGCATTTTGCATGACTGCAGGTGTATAGCTTATATCAAATTGCTTGCCTTCTCAAAGGAGGCGGGGGAGGGGAGGAAGAGAATTTGGAACTCAAAAAAAATTTAAAAACAAATGTTAAAAATTGCTTTTACATGTAATTGGGGGGAAATAAAATTTTAAAATAAAAAAAGAAAACAGTGGCATACAGCAAACAATGCTTTATGATCAGGTAGTTCTCTCTGTCAAATGCTTAAGCACCTATGAGGATCTCTGGGGTGTGAAGGCTGGGGTGAGGACCAGAGCAGTTACCACTCTATAGCCTGCTCCCATCTTAAAACTCCAATACCAGTTTGAGTAAAAACTGCTGCTGGGATTGGGGCCAGGTTGGAAGCAAAGGGCTGGCCTGAATCTAATTAACTCACACTGGACTAGCCAGGGTTCTCAGCTACAAAGGCAGCAAACAAGAGCAGTATCAGCATTGTCTACCAGCTCTTCCCTTCCCTCTCTGCCTTCATCTATCCCTGTCTCTGCTCTGTCTCCAGACTTCAGGTAAGGAGTTGGAGGCTGAGGAACAAGTTTGATCACTTTCTTTCTATGGGACAACTTCTATCATAACCCCCTGTATCTTCTATTGCCTTAGCTGGAGCTTCTACTATTATTTGTAGGGAACATGTCTATGGTCCCAGATTCCCACAATCCATGGGGTTGAAGTGGCCATACTTATTTGGGGCTTATGAGTAAGTAAGTAAGTACGTGTGTGGAGGCTACCTTTCTCAGGAGACTATGCGTGGCATGAGTCTTCAACATGGTGGCATGACCAAGTGAGTGCTCTTATTGAGTAAGAAGAGATTCTTAAGCATAGGAAGCCTGAGAGAGGGGCTGAGCACCTACAGAGAAGGGGCTCATCTAATGATAGTCATGGTGACTTGAGCCCTGAAGTCTCAGACTAAGATAATGACTCCAGGTCTAAAGGTGAGCTAGCTGAGTGTCCATGGATGTCATTCAATATCCAGCCAACTCTCTGAGACCATAATTAACAAATGAGTTACCAGTCTCCATTGGTGGAGGGAGTTTGCACACTGATTGTTTCCCGTTAACAATGAAATCATAAGTCTAGACCCAAAAAAATAGGTATGAGAAAAATGAAAGCATTTTACTATAATGTCACCATGAAATTTTGATTGTTTAAAATTGCAGGAGTCTGTCACTGCAAAAAAAAAATCCTACAAACATTGCTCTCTATCACTTAGTCCCATAATTCTCAGTGCTCAGGACCTACTTCCATAATACGCCACAGGAGAGTAGCTATTCCATTCTAGAATAATTGGCTTTAATATAATATCAAAAATTAGAAGTCTCTTGGTGCTTCCAAGATTTCATGAGTGAGGAAATTCCCTCTCCATCTCAGTAGATGGTCTTTGTGAGTTGTGGCCAGAAGATTTCATCACCTGGTGACCAAATTCTGGTGAGGAGCTTCTCCAGATAAATCTGGTTCTTGGACACCAGACAGTTTAGTGAAAGACCCAAACCTTACATTACATGAGAAAGTAAGCACCTTACTGGTAGAGCTGTCTTATTTTTCTGGTTCTATCTCTAGAGCCCAGCACTGTGTCTGTCACTTAGCATTATCTACAAAGTGCTTACTGAATTAAATTGAATTGAAACTTATTATTTTCTAACCTGAAGGAAGGAAAGAAATATTGATTATACACCTACTATGTACCAGGCAACATGCTAAACACTTTATAAATATTATCTCATTTTGTCCTCACATCAATCCTGTGAGGAAGGAGTTGTCATCATTTCCATTTTACAGTTGTGAAACTGAGGCAGACAAGATTAAGTGATTTGCCCAGAGTCACACAGCTGGGAAAGATCTGAGGCTGGATTTGAACTCAGGTATTCCTAACTCTAGGATTTGTATTCTATCCACTGCACCACCTAGCTATCTTCCTAATTTGGAAGAAGGATCTTCCAGAGCTTTCAATCCACTGGCACCCTCTTTGAGACCTTAGGCTCAGCTGTACGCCATGCTAAGGCATTAGAAGAGGGTGATAGTGGACTTTTTA